TCTACTCTGATTGTCGTGAAAGTAAGAGGAGAGTCCATGTTTTCTGAATCAGCACAAAACGCGTCGACACCATAGATCAACTTTCCGAGCGACGACCCGTCTCTCTCAATATGTAACGCTCGACAACTTACAGCCCGTATTTTAATCTCAACCGAGAGGTCACACGAGCGACACAGAGCCGCCTCTCATCCACGCACATCGCAAGCTTTCAACCGCGTCATACATCGGCAAAAGATCCCTAGAAAACTACGGAGTTTCGTCGCTACGCTTTTTTCCATTATACATACGCACCATGTCGTGGCGATCCCACGAGAAATCGGCTCTCTGGATGGACAAGCAGTTCCACCAAGCATATATACATACACACTTTGTCCAACGACAGCCCTCGTTTTATCTCCCCGTTCTCTGTCGCGCACACGAGCGAAGCGATAACTCGGCGGCGCACCGGTTCACTTGATCTTTGTGCTTTTTTTTTTTTTTTTTTTTTTTTTTTCCACCACTTACGTGACGGTCGTTGGGTGAGTTATCGCTCGCATACCGATTGGGCTCATCAACGAAAATTCAAGGGGCGTCGTACCTATATACATGTAATTATCCGAAAAATTGGGATCGTCATTGTTTGCGGGCTTGCAGGAGCTTTTTGCCTATGCTCCCGGTGGCTCATCGATTCCGCTTGAGCCGTGTAGGTACACACACGCAGTTCGTTTGTACACAGGCTGGCATCGCGGGGTCGCTTGGCCATTGAGCCGTAACGGTGATTATTTTACCGCGGACAAGCGTATTTTTCAATGCGCCTGACAAAGTAGTTTCGCACGCGCGCCTTCCAACGTAAGACGGGTATAAATTATACGAATGCGCGGCGCACTTGAACCTACTTCCGTTCCTTTTTCTCATGCCGACGTCGACTTGCAACGAGAGACTTCTGGGCTTCAGCCACGCGTCACATGACCATTTTGCCGTATACGTACGATTCTCGGGATCGCGAGCTCGTTGTATAGAAAAAAAAGAAAAAAAAAGAAAAGAAAAAAAAAAAAAAAAAAAAAAAAAAAAAGTATATATAGAGATTTGTAAGCACGTAATATGTATTCGCGTCGCGCGATGCGCATGTATAATGTGGAGAGCGCGCGATGAGCTATGATTCAGATAAACAGAGATTTTAATTGGCTCTCGCGCTCGTTTCATTTGCGGGTTATAAAATGGAGGGAGGGAGGGAAGGAAGAGGCGCGGCTGTTTGCTACTTTGATACAAGGAGTGGGTGCCTCTTGGTGAGCTCTTCTCGGCTTATTTACGGGGTGAAAACAAAAAAATCACGCTTCTTGTGTGGGTACAAGTGCTTTTTTGGGGGGAACGGCTTATTGAAGATGGACTTTACGATCTTCCTTAACTTCAATGTACGTTTGATGTTTGAAATCGTTAGAGATTCACCTCCTTGTGTACAGATTCATTCAATCGGAGTATGAAAATCGGTTCCTCAACCCATGAGTACATTAATTTAGTCTATACCTCTATATTTACCGTCTATTTGTAGTATTAGTGGTTAGCATCGAAATTTTATGGTTTTTTTTTTTTTTTTTTTTTTTTTCAAGATCGACAGAGCTTATTGTAATTCCGTGTAATTCGTCTTTTATACCTGTCACTAGACACTTTAGAACGTTATTTTACCCCGATTTTACCAAACAAATTCTAATTCTATAAAAACAAGTATTTTAAAGCTTGTAGGCGTACAATATTGAATATGCCAACTTCAAAGCTCCGTGTGTTTAAAACGGCGCTTTTGGGCAAAGTTTCGGACCTCGTCGAACATCAGGATGAGAAATAAACATCGAATGAAAACAATATTGTTATTTCTTCTGCGCAACCCTTTAATTTTATCAAAAAATAGAGACCAGAAAAAATTCGCTATCCATCGTAATAACACGTGAGCCAAGGCGCCATTAAACTCTATACGCGTAACCCTAACGATCCCTACCGATCGTCGCACCCAACAAATGCACGGAAAGTAACGAGACGGGAATCATGCGCCGAGAAGAAAAAAAAGGGATCTTGCACGCTGCACAGCTGGACCCTCTCTTTCCCTCATTTTTTCTTCATGAAGTAGCCCTTATCGCGCTGCCTCCATCTCCGCCTACCGATGTAACGCGCGCGTTCAATCTTTGGGCCGCACGGCACACACAAAATCGCCTCCCGATCAATCGGATTAATTTTAGGTCCGCGTTTACAGAGAGGGGGGCTGCAATTTGGAAAGAAGTAAAAAACAAAAAAATAAAATAAAACAAAATAAAAGGAAGCAAGAGAGCAAACGTATATGTACCTCCTGTCGAAGAGGAAGAAGATGAACGAGGCGAACGTTATTCGGCGGCGATCGAGAAAGTCCGTGCAACTTGCCGAGACGAGTATAAAAAACAAAAAAAATGAAGAAAAAAAAAAAAGAAGCGCTACAGGGAAGAGGAAGACGAAGGAGCAGAAATGGCAGGGGTATTGTTTTACACAGGGAGAGAGAAAGAGGAAGGAACGATGGAAGAAAGCATCCCTAATGAGGGCATCATTCTTCAGGGTCAAAGGAGAGGAGAGCGTGCCTCGGTTTTGTTTCTCTCTCTCTTCCATTATGTCAGTTCCAAGAGAGGGAGAGAGAGAGAGGGTCGATCGCGTGATGAGAGCCAAGCCAAAGACACGGCCTGCACGTGCTTTTAAATTCTGTTATGTCGCTGCACCGGTTCTTCCCTCCCGTCCTCTCCCTTCTCGTGTTCCAGGCATGCACGCCGAGCCGCCCACCACTGGCTCTTGCGCGCCCGAGAGATCTGTATTGTAGCCCTGAGAGATACACACCATTGCAGATTTACTTTTGGCCCAGCACATGCAGTGTAGGTGTATATATTATACTATTGGCGACTTCAACCGCTGTGGGTTTTCCGTTCGCGTGCGCCGGTGGATGGAGGAATTGCTACCGATTTCACGGCAACTTGTCACGCGAGTCCCTCTCTGTGTGTGCGCGCTAGCGGGAGTGCCCATTTGTACGTGCACCGTGTACAGTTGAATGAGAGCGAAAGATGTACGGGGAAGGGTAACCGTCGAGTCGAGAGGCGCCTTTTGGTTTGGCTTTTCTTTTCTGGCTTCTCGCAATACGAGTTTGTCCGGACGAGAGTCGCGTGTATAAGAAAGTCCCTCCCTCCTTTTTTTTTTTTTACACTCACTAGGTGAGAATTGATGGACGTGGTGTTGGTTTTAACAACTCAATGTAATTGAGGATGTCGATTAAGGCGGTAAACGATCTTGTACGCACAACCGTACCGGTTAATTTTATGCGAACTCATCCTAATTGGACGGACAATCGGCCAAGGGTGTAATTTTTTGATTCAACGAAAAAAGACATTTTTTTTTTTACAAAAGATCGGTAAAAGCATACTGCGATTTTTTCGTTTGGTTCGTAAAACATTTTGTTTATAAGATCGCGAGTCGCTGTTATTTCGATTTTTGGTATGTAAAACGTTGTATCAACGTCCCGTTTGCAATTAACATACAGTGTGCCATTTTTATTTGATTTTCACGATGTACCTACCACGTGATTTGGATGAATTTATGACCATGTGATTTGGATTGAATTTTGAATAAGGGACCATACTGCGACCAAGCAATCGATGTTCCTGTGTATGCGCAATTATACATGCGACATCGGGAGTGAAAGGGCAAAATAATCAGCGGACGTATTATTGAAATTCCGATAATTATTCGGACAGGTATTTGTACAGTTTGAACAGTCGACGCACTAACGATGTAACTATTTCTGTCAATCGGTAATTTTCCGTCAATTAATCAACCCCAGCACATGGTCGATACATACCCGACAGTGGCAAAATTGAAACAAACCGTCGAGCCAACGTCTCTCCTTCCACGCATCTATGGTCTCACGTTTGCTGTACTATATTTATGTAACAAGCGCTCGCCATGAGTCATATTCAATGTGCGAAAGAACGCGATACAGATCATCTTCTTTTCATCCTCCACGAGAACAATCAATCATCGTTTCGAATCAAAGTGCCTCCTTACTCTCGCCCCACGATCGGGCAATAAAAACGCGGAAGCCTCTTGGCTGCGCGGGTACGATGCATCTCCGCAAGCTTACACCCTCCCGCTCTCCTCCTCCTCCGACAATTGTGTTTACAATGAGAATTAATGTCACGACTGCGATAACGCGTTCGATTAACTCTTTCGCGCCACTAACGCGAAATTTGGGGAATCCCGGGGAAACATTTCGTTTCAGTATCGTTCAACGGGCATCGGCAAAAATTACACGTTTGCAAATCTAGACTCACAAGTGCCAAAAGAGCCGATGATCGGTTGAACGAAGTGCGCAGTAAAATCAACACCCATCGACCTACCACTAAATTATCCACGGGTGCAATCAGCTGATGGCTTTGTCCGGGTAGCAAAGGGCCGAATCCCCAAGAATTTCAGCATAATTACGCTAAACGAGCCGAGGTGATAATGGCCCTTGACGCCTACACACATGTGCAGCTGATCGCCCTGCCAATGCCCCTCTCCTCCACCCCCCTTCTCGATGGGCCCTCCCTTCTCTTAGCGCCTCTTGGTCTCCCCCTCCCTCCCCCCTCGGCGTATCTTCTTTTTGCTCCGATCGTACGCGGATCATCGCTCGGAAGAGAGGGAAACAAGAGACGGCTATAGCTCTGTTTTGGCAACCTATGTGTGTGCGCGTCGGTTTTTACATCGCTCTCCCGTAAGTTCGGCTGTTCTCGCGTGGAGGCGCGCGGGGGCGTATTTTTGAACGAGCAGCAACAGCCCGCGCTCCGATCGGCCCCTAAGAGATCGTGTACGAGGGGATACCGATCTCTTTGACAACCACCGGGCGCCCACAGCCACAAATTTTTAGAGTAAAAAAAAAAAAAAAAAATGAAAAAAAAATATGAAAGGAGCAAAGCACGCAATCGCGTAAAAGAAGGAGTCTCTAGTAATCGTAAGGAAAAAAAAGAGAGATCGGTACTCACGACAGCCTCGGCGATCGGTAGCCAGAAGCAGCAGGCAAAGGTGGCCAGCAGTAGCAGGTAGACCGGCACCGTGGGCTCCCGCCGCTTGGGCCGCATCATGGGGGAGGGGGGGGGGCCCCGGGCCCACTAAGCCCTGGAAAACTCAGCCGGACCTCTTCACCGAAAAAATGTAGGCCGCCCCGCGTGTACAACCACCCGGGTGGACCGTGTTATCCGTCGACGAGGAGGAGCAGCTGCAGAGGCGCACGGAAAGCGAGCCTTGTCGGTCTGTCTGTGGAGCAGCTGCAGCAGCCGCGCGAGAGAGCGCGCGCCTCGATCCGCTCTCGGCCTACCGAGTCCGTCTTTTCCCTCTCGCTCTCCTGGCGTCGACGGGGCTGTCGAGAAGTCGGGGGCGCTCGCCGCAAGGGGGGGGGGGAGAAAAACCCCGGCCTCCCGTTTGCCGCCCAAAAGACGACCACCACCTCGCTTCTTTTTCCTTCCCCACTGGGTCACTGTTTCGCCCTCTCTCCTCGCGTAGCCGGCTTTGCCTGCGCATAATATTACGTGTGTATCCCTGCGCGCTTTTGCCGATCGCGCGCGTGATTATCCGGTATCGCGCGTACGTGGGAAGAAAAAGAGCGAGAAGGCGAGAGCGAACGGGAGGAGACGCGCAGCGCGACCGATAGGGCCGGGAGCGCGCTCTTCGGTCGCGCAACAGTCGGGAGGAGATGCGCGCTCGGGACTGGGTGTACCACGGAGGCTCGCGCCGGCTCATCTCCTGGCAGCTGGCCCCTGCGTTCTCTCCCTCCTTCCGCGGCGCTTTTTGGCTCTTTCGGTGCCCCGGTGGAGGCGGGGGCTCATCCATCTCCCGCTCCGGCGGAGGGATCTGCTTTTTGTATCTCCCCCTCTGAGCGGCGCCACCACCTTCGCCACCACCACCGGACCCTGCTGCTGCGGATCCTCCCGCGAGGAGAGAGAGAGCTAGTTTTCACCGAGGGAGCTTCCAGGACGGGACGACCGTGCTCTCGAAAGCGAGAGCCAGACCGAGCGAGCGAGCGAGCGAGAGAGAGAGCCCTCCGAGCGTAGTCTCTCTCTCTCTCTCTCGGCGGGAGTGCTGGCCGATCGAGGCGCACTTGCCCAACCGGGACGGCCAAGACGGACGGTTCTCTCCGTATTTTTTTGCCCGTTGGCGACGGTCGGTATAACGAGGAGGAGCTCTATTCGCGCCCGGAAGAGTGAGCGCGGTGGTGCCTCGTTGCTCCAGAGGGTGGAGGTTCCTGGAAAGGCCTCGCGAGAAAGGACAAATTTGCGAGGATCGGAGCTCACGGGGCGATCGCGCACAAGCGCGGACTCGCCGCTGGCCGATCGACATGACCCGGTTGGGATTGCGGTGAGTACCGATTTCTTTTTTTTTTTTTTTTTTTTTTCACAATATTACTCGTGGAGCTTTTTTCTTTCTTTGCCTGTTGTCGGAGGACTTATCTATTACCGATATCAGGGCTCGTTTGGCTTTACAATGTAGATTGAAATTTTGTTTATTCGACGGAAATGTTTAGGGTGAGCGATCCTCGGAAATAATCCCAAGGTGATTCCTGAAACTGGTTCCCTTTGGGGAAGCCGCGCGATCGGTTTTTTGCGCTCTCGGGTCTGTCGCGCTCCCGAAAACGAGGCCCAAACGCGCGCATTTATCGCAAGATCGGTCGATTTTTTTTTCTTTTCATTCCTTCGTACTGTTCAGTAAAAAATCTCGCGTACAGCTTTGATTAATGATCGTAGCTTTATCGGTAAGTGCGTTTCTCCGTGATAAATTTGGGAGCAGAAAATACGGCTAACTAAGGGCTTCAAAAACATACATTCCCCGATGCAGGTATGACTTTTGATTGACCGATTGCCCTTTCCCTTTGTTTTTTCTCTGTTGACAGATTTATCGCATCCCTGGCATGCCTGGTCGTCGCAGCACAAGCCGTAAGTTCTCCTGTGACAATATTTTAATCATTTAACCAACACATGCATGATAAATCGCACACGTGGCGAAGCACCAATGCTATACTGGACGAGCATCTCGCGTCTGACATTCGTACGGGCAAGTTAGTGATAGCTCAGCGCAGCTCGCCGTCCGCGCGTCGAGTGGCGAAAGATCGCCGAGCGAGAGCTCGCGCACGGACTGCCAAGATGCCCCACCACGAGTCGTACACGTACATATAGGGCGGCTCTCCGTTTCCGAGCGGGGGAGGAATATGCATGCCTATACGGTATCAGATTTCGGTTGCCTATAGTTTCCCGAGCCGAGGCAACCGGTTGCACGTCGCGGTATACTGTTGGCTGGATGGTCGCGATAGTGCAGGCGCTACTACGCCACCAGGGGATTCCCCGTTTATTTGGTATATCATATGTTTTAGGGGATAATTTCGCGCTCTATTGCAGCGGTGAAGAATATTCGTTCGTCGACTTATTACTATTTTTATTTTTAAAGAGTATAGATATGCAATTTATTAATTTCAAAAGTTATCTTGATAGTTGACTTTTTTCACATCATATGAAGTACAATTTTTTACCGTGTTTGCATTTAGTTTTCTTTATGGTACTATTACTCTCAAATATAACAGACAGTGTTTTAAACAAACTTAAATCCAAAAAAAGGGGTTAATGAATTCTGCATGTCAGTTTTTGCACGAATTTATTCGGAAAATATTTTTAATAACTACCTTTATTATTTCACAAAAATTTATCCTTTGAGAAGCTATGATATATTTGACAAAGTTAAGTAAACGTATATCCTGCAAAAACATAGACACAGAAAAGTACACATACTCAGGAGTAAATGTCGGAGATAATGCAATCAAGGAAATGGTATTGACCCAATATTTAAGACACACTCTCAACTGCATGTGATAATTCAACTTTGCGGCACACGCGCCCTAGATATTGAGTATAAACGTAGCTGTTATCTCGCTCTTCCTATTTCCTCAATTTGTGAAACTCTAACGGTAGATTGAAGATTCGTATCCCCTATGAAACGGAAAACGAGGTATAGATATGGATAAGAGCATTAAAACGTATACCGAATACTAAACCCCGAATAAAATTAAAAACGGAGTGTAACGATTTTTCCAACTGTAGTGTATAAAGAATGGAGGCACAAACGATAACATTACTTTTATCAATAAATACGTGCATTCAATTTCAAACAACGACTTTGTTAACAAGATGGCAGGAATAAGAATTCCTTATAATTATTACATTTCTTAGATTCACTTTGTAATGAAAACCCCCATGAATTTTTCATCAATGTTGTGATTCAATTCTTTATCACCATTTTTACTTACATAAATCTTTTCTATATTTTTGAAATCGTAGCAAAAACATTTTACTGTAATACACGAATCAGACTCGCATAGATTTGAACATTTTACTTTACTAGCCAATGAAACGCAAAAATAAAATGAATTCATCTACAGGTCTATTGACATGTATACTGAATAATATTGCTACTTCAAAATTTCGTAGATTTGTTTATTTCAAAGACCATATAAAGATGTGCAGCAATTTTGTTGGGTTGATTGGAGATAAATGAAACTAACGTGATGAAAATAAAAATTTTTGTCAAAGGTGTTGCATCACGTTAACCATTTCATTTGTTTATTTTTTCGTAACTCAAGTCCTTTTTTTCTTATTAGAGAAACGCCTACCCATATAATAGCTCATGGCCAGATACCGATGAAAATCGACCGCAACGCGGCGATTTGCCCGGTACATCGTACGAAAAAGATGACTACGACGATGAAAATTATTCAGATGAGTACACGCCGGCCCCACCACCGATAGGACATAATAAAAATGAAGTACATCGCGGTTATTCCAACTCGTGGGATACCGGCTACGGTCAACAAACCTGGGACGGATGGGAGGCAGAGGAACGAAGGAGGTACAACGAAAGTCACCGTCTCTCGGTGTCTTCGACTTCAGGTGGCGGGTACGATACATCTGGCCGATCACAACAAGAATCCCACGATAGATACGGTGAGCAGGGATATCCCAGCAGCTACAAAGTTTATCCGGCTCCAGGAGCAAATAAAAACTGTACTAGTCAAGGCTGCTGCTATCCCAAATGTTTTGCTGAAAAAGGCTCGAGGGTGAGTGTTGACGTAACAAAATAATTTTTTCAGATCCACAATATTCAAATGATACGACCAATTGTGCATATATTTCAGGGACCACCAGGCCTGATGGGTCCCGTTGGTCCCAAAGGAGATCACGGTTTTCCGGGAGCAGAAGGATTTATCGGCCCAAAAGGTGACAAGGGAGATCCCGGACCCCAAGGCCAGCGTGGGATTCGGGGTGAAAGAGTTAGTTAATGTTAAAAAAATCCTTTTCGACATCTTATTTATCTTCTAGTCTTGTAAAAACATTAATTTTTTAGGGTAAAATGGGTTTACCTGGCCATCCCGGACAAAATGGAGTACCTGGTAGCCCAGGAGCTGCAGGACCTTCCGGTTTACCTGGTCGGGATGGTTGCAACGGAACTGATGTAAGCTAATAATAATAATAATAATAATAATAATAATAATAATAATAGTATTCATAGCATAAATAATTAACATCATACAAGTAATTCGTTGTCAGAGAGAAGACAGATTACCATTCAGTTTTTTGCATTTTGTGCTATAGGAAACTTAGCCCTATGTCAAAGAATCTCACGATTTCACTTTGCATATAAGGTAAATTAGGTTTCCGGAAAAAGGAGACAAATACTTTGCGAGAAAAATTATTTTTCTATCAAGCATAGTTGTATAATTCTTCCCAGAAATTTGAGAGTTGTATTTTATTGACAAGAGATTGCTCCTTCGAAGTGATACATTGCGCTTTTTAGTTGTAAATTCGTGCAGTGATGTAATTGATTTATGTAGGGAACTCCTGGTCGTTCTGGATTACCTGGGGAACCTGGTCCACGAGGATTACCTGGTATCACTGGAAGCAAGGGAGATAAAGGAGAAGCTGGTCACTGTGGTAGGCTCTCAGTTGGCCAGAAAGGTGAACCTGGTATAGACGGAGTACAGGGTGCAAGAGGTATTCCTGGTCCACAGGGTTATCCAGGCCCACATGGACAGAAAGGTGAAATGGGACCAATTGTAAGTACATAATTTTCAAGTTACGGTCAATATTATTTTCATTATGACGATACAGAACATTACCTAATTATAACTGGTAGGGATTCAGTGGATCACCAGGATTAAAGGGAGAAAAGGGTCATATGGGACTTGGCTTTGAAGGCCCTAAAGGGGATAAAGGTATTAAAGGAGAAGTTGGCCCACCAGGTGAAAGTTATGCATCATTTTTCACGGGAAAAGATGAGGTAGTGGGTCCTAGGGGAGCAGAAGGACCAAGAGGTGATAAGGTAAAATACCAATAAATTTTTTTTTTTTTAGTTATTTAAAACTTGTTTAAAATACATTGATTCCAAACTTTTTTACCACATACAGGGAGATATGGGAGTACCAGGTCAGAAAGGAGAACCTGGATTCCAAGGAGACAATGGTTTGCCTGGTTTCAATGGTCCTAAAGGAGAAAGAGGCTTGCCAGGTGCACCGGGGATTCGAGTATGCTTACTTACATTTCAACAATTTTGTTAAAGTTTTCAAGCAATTTTAAATGAATGCTCTTTTACTTTAAGGGACGCGAAGGGCACTCTGGTCCTCCCGGGCCTCCCGGACGTAAAGGAGATAGAGGTTTAGATGGTGCAGATGGATTATCAGGCTTGCCAGGATTCAAAGGAGAGCCTGGATTAGATGGTCCACAAGGTATTCCAGGTTTACGAGGACCACCAGGTCCCCCAGGAGTAAGTTGATAAATGTTGTTATAACAGTTGATAAGTATGATATGATAAAAATTTTCATAAAAACAAACTTTTGTCAAGGGTGGGAAAGGACAACCAGGTCCACCAGGCGAAAAAGGACCACGAGGATATCCTGGACCAGTAGGTTTGAGAGGATCAGATGGGCTTGCTGGTGTTCCAGGGCCTAGAGGTCCTATTGGACCACCTGGAGGCCCTGGATTATCTGGTATTCCTGGGATAGAAGGAGCTCCTGGTGATAAAGGAGCTAAAGGAGACGCCGGACTCACCGGTTTACCTGGAGAAACTGGTCCTCAAGGTTTTATTGGACCTATGGGTCCTCCTGGTCCAAGGGGCTTGCAAGGCGAAAAAGGACTATCGATTATCGTAAGTAGTGTAAAAAAAAAAGAATTTAACTTTGATCGATTGTTCAATATTAATGAGGTACAAATTTAAATAAAACATGTAAGGGCCCGGCTGGGATGGATGGGACTACAGGAAGAGATGGTGCCAAAGGCCAGAAGGGAGAAAGAGGATATGGTGGTTCACGAGGTCGCCCAGGTGATTCTTTAGAAGGAATTCCAGGTCCTCCAGGTCAACCAGGCATTGCGGGAGAGCCAGGAGTACCAGGAAGAGATGGTAGTCCTGGGTTCCCTGGATTAGTTGGTGAGAAAGGAGAAGCTGGTGGTAAATGTTCCCAATGCCTTCCTGGACAAAAAGGAGTTAAAGGAGATCGTGGCCTGGATGGGCAAGATGGGCTACCAGGTCTTAGAGGACCACCTGGAGAACATGGTTTTCCTGGTGAAGCAGGTGCTGACGGACTACCAGGTCCTAGTGGTCTTCCTGGCGAACGAGTGCGTATATGTTATTAATGAATAAGTTTTAAATTAATAGAAAATACTACATTTATGTTAAAAGTTGTTAAACTTTTTTTATTACATTATTTTTAAATAAAATAGGGTACAGATGGAGTGCCTGGTGCTCCAGGACCACAAGGAGAATCGGGAAAAGACTGTTTAATTACAAAAGATCAGTGTAAACTAGAAAAAGGCATGAAAGGAGATCGTGGTGATGATGGAAGACCAGGGCCTCGAGGTCTTGAAGGTCCTCCTGGTGAAAAAGGCATAGCAGGCAGTCCAGGTTTTCCAGGTCCCAAGGGAGACATGGTATTTACATAAATTATTAAAAGTTACATTTGGAATTATAATTTTTAATGCCATTTTTCTTAGGGTGATCAAGGCTTTCCAGGACAAAGTGGAACGCCTGGAAGACCTGGAATTCCTGGAAGAAAAGGCGAAATGGGTTTAAGCATTAAAGGTGAACAGGGTGATTTGGGTAGTGATGGATATCCTGGTCCAAAGGGAGAACCAGGATTTCCTGGAATGCAAGGAGATCCAGGTGTGCAATTGAAATTACTTTATAATTAATTTAAAAATACCTGTAAACCGACTAACTTTATGTTATTCATTAAGGAATTTGTCCACCCTTAAATGTTGAACATGCTGCTGTTGGGCCTCCTGGAGACAGAGGCCAAAAAGGTGAACCAGGTCTTCGTGGTTTTGATGGAGAGAAGGGTGACAGAGGTTATTCAGGTGAACCAGTAAGTTATAGAAAAAAATTATGGTTTCTGAGTTTTTTTTATTATTAAGGTTAGATGTACTACTGGCATTTTGATTATTATATAATTCAATCATTTTTGCACTCGATTTGTTGAAATTTGCATATCGTCCAAGTTTATAAATTGTAGCATTTCAAAGTATTAAACACTGGTAAAGAACTGCTACTTCGTTGGTGGAAATTTTAGTACTGAAATAGAAAAGCCACTCATATAAATAACTTTTAACAAAGTAATTCTATAAGAATTTATTATTTCACCTGCAAATTATTATGTTAACTACGATTTAAAAACCTTGTTACATTTATTTACAAATAATATTCTCATAACGAATATTAAAACTTTTTTATTACGTTGTACAGTCAATTATTCCAACTGTTTTGGTGTAACTATTTTGTTAAGCAAAAACAATTTTTTGTTATTAATGATGAATATCATTTAAAAATTTTATCGTGAATTACATTAGTCATAACCAATTAATATATCAAATAAATTGACTTATTGGAATTTTTTTTCTTAAATAGTGAAGGTGTGAGAATTAAGTATATCATGCTTTAAATTTAGGGTTTACCAGGACCACCTGGCCCCATTGGAGCACCTGGACCAACAGGTCCCAGAGGATTACCAGGTCCTCGTGGAGATAAAGGTAACACCGGTCCTATGGGATTTCCTGGCGAGCATGGTGCTTTAGGACAGAGAGGTTTTCCTGGTTTGAACGGGCCGAAAGGTGTCAAGGGAGAACCAGGCATTTCAGTCAAAGGAAGTATTGGTTTACCTGGAGCGCCTGGTCCAAAGGGAGATAAAGGAGGACCTGGACCAGTTGGAGAGGAAGGACCAGTTGGTTACCCAGGTTTACCAGGATTTTCAGGGGAAAAAGGTGATATTGGAGAACCAGGACTCAATGGAATTCCAGGAGTCCCTGGTGAAAAAGGTGATACTGGACCCATGGGCCCTCCAGGTCCAGCTGGAATCACAGGAACGCCTGGTACAGATGGCTACAAAGGTAAAGATTCAATTTCAATATTCACGAGCAAAGGAATAGTAGGCATTAATAAAATTAAATTATATTGATATTAGGTGAAATGGGACCCCCTGGAGAACCAGGAAGAATCGGATTAACTGGATTACCTGGTATGAAAGGTGATATAGGTGTTCCTGGTATCGATGGTCCAAAAGGTTTTCCTGGACGTAGAGGACCACCTGGTTTGCAAGGTAACGAGTTTGTAAGAAGACAATGATTATAAAACATTTTGCGATGTTGGCTCCTACTATTTGAACAAGTGTAACTTTGTTTTTATAATCAGTAAAAAAGTATTCATGTTATTGGAACGTCTTGTAACAAATTTGAACTCTATGAAGTGCAGATCTTAAAAAAACAGAAAGCTTAATATTCATCTTTTTATTGCAAGACAATTTCTTGCACCTCAACTAATATTTCTGTCATAAACATGCACAACTTACTCATAGAAATTATTGCGTGATTCTGAAATCATCAATAATAATTTATTCTATAATGCATATTAATTTTTTAAANTATATATTTTGAATTTATATTATATTATTTATATTATTTATATTATTTCTGTAGGGCAACCCGGTTTAGATGGTGCACCAGGTTTAAAAGGAGAAAGAGGCGAGAAAGGTTTGCAAGGTTTTCCTGGTATGCCTGGTATGGATGGAAAACCAGGACTCCTTGGTGAACCTGGTCCTAAGGGAGATGTGGGATTCCCCGGAGAGCCTGGAAGAATGGGTCCGATTGGTCTCGAAGGGGAAAAAGGAGATCATGGAGAATTAGGTTTTCAAGTAAGAATGATTTCTAAACTGTTTTATTCCAAGTAAATAGTTCACATGTATAGCAGAGTAAATTTTGCATGTATTTTAATAACAATTTCCAGGGTCAAAAAGGAGAGCCAGGACAGGTATCAGAAAAAGGTCAAAAAGGCGAAACTGGAATGCCTGGTATAAGAGGGCCTCAAGGACCACCTGGTCGAGATGGTATAGATGGCGAAAAAGGTGAGCCAGGTCAACCAGGTTATGGCCGAGATGGCCTTCCAGGGGATAAGGGAGAGCCAGGTTTACCAGGAAGAGATGGAACACCTGGTTTTAGAGGAGATAAAGGAGACATGGGAATTCGCGGTTTCCCTGGTTCGAAAGGAGATATTGTAAATACATTACTTAAAATGATTCATAGTGTAAATTTTAAGTACAAGTAAATACGTTTAAAAATCAATAATTGAATATGTCATATATAGGGATTCCCAGGAACACCAGGAGAACCCGGAGAACCTGGAATAGATGGAATAGATGGAACAAAGGGAGATATTGGACCAATGGGATCAGTAGGTTTTCCTGGTTTGGATGGAGAAATGGGTCCCCCTGGAAGACCTGGTTTCGACGGATTAAAGGGAGAAAGAGGTCCAGAAGGTAAATAGAAAAAATTTAATGAAAGCAGTTATTTGAATAACTTTAGACAGTTTTTTCTTAATGCGTTAATTTTAAGAAAAAAATAAATACATAAAATCGAGTTTCATAACAATTTTCAGGACCTGAGGGGCATACTGGCTACCCTGGACAACCAGGTGAAAAAGGAGATCATGGTCCTCCTGGGTTGATTGTGAATGTAAAAGGAGAAAAAGGAGAACCTGGACTACCAGGTTATCCAGGACGTGATGGCGAAAAGGGTGATGTTGGATTTCCTGGCCCACCAGGATTCACCGGAGAAAGAGGAGATAAGGGCGAGTCTGGCAGTCCAGGTTTCCCAGGCCAACCAGGAATTCCAGGAGATAAGGGTAACATTTTTTTGAAAGAAATAAAAATAATTATGATTCCAACCAAAAATTATAATGTTAAATTTTTATTATAATGTGATGATTCAAACTCATAGGGGATCGCGGACCTTCTGGACCTTCGGGACCTCCTGGCTTAACTATTAGGGGAGAAAAAGGCCTTCCTGGGTTGCCTGGTAAACATGGAAGAGACGGTTTCCCTGGATTAGCAGGCTCTAAAGGAGATAGAGGCTTGCCGGGTCTTCCAGGTATGAAAGGAGAACTTGGTGTTCCTGGTCCGATTGGGCCAGCTGGACCCAAGGGAGACATGGGTCTTCCTGGTCCTACTGGTTTGCCGGGACGCGATGGTGCTCCTGGATTGGATGGCATGACTGGATTAGAAGGTGAAAGAGGACCAAAAGGAGATCAAGGTCCACCTGGATTATATTCGGGTCCTGGTCAAAAAGGAGAAGTCGGTTATCCTGGTAAAAATTTTTTTTACTTTAATTCAAAGTAACTTTTTATGAAGTTTCCTAATGAATTGATATTTTTTGAACAGGTCGTGACGGTTTGGATGGTAAGAAAGGAGAGAAAGGTGATAGAGGTTGGGACGGAGTCGCTGGTTTAACAGGGTCTGTGGGAGAAAAAGGAGACAAGGGTTACCCAGGATTGGATGGTGTTATTGGAGCTGCAGGGTTAGAAGGAGAGAAAGGAGATAAGGGAGAAGCTTGCATAGCTCTTCCTACTGGTCGAGGAGAAAAAGGAGATAGGGGTTTCCCAGGTAAATGGAGAAATATTAAGAGGATGAGACAGCAATAATTATGATTAATATGCAATAGTAACTACATTCAATCAATTTTTGAAGGACCCATTGGGCCTCCTGGACCACAAGGTCAAAAAGGAGATCAAGGACTTCCAGGTTATCCTGGAGTTAATGGCCCTAAAGGTGTCCAAGGATTAGTTGGACCTCCAGGGATTCCAGGTTTAAGAGGATTGCCAGGTTTGCAAGGGCCTCAAGGTCCAACAGGTCTTTTAGGACCACCTGGAGCACCAGGAATTCCAGGTGAATCTGGTGCACCATGTGAAACTACTCCTGACTATCTTACTGGCATACTTTTGGTCAAACACAGTCAAAGCCAAACAGTTCCAGAATGTGATCGAGGACATTTCAAGCTATGGGACGGTTACAGTCTTTTATATACCGATGGCGATGAAAGAGCGCATTCCCAAGACTTAGGTTAGTATTGAGAATTTAATTGATCCTTAAATATTATTTTTTATCATATTTCACGTTCCAAAATTTATTTTAAGTGTTTATGACTATTGCGTTCATCAAAAGTTTTTCACATCCATACAGACATTGTCATGAAAGTGATCGTTTCCGTGAAAGCATGTGTATCCTATTCATCACGTAAATTTTTAAGTTCAAGTATGATTTTGCTAAACAGGTTATGCTGGATCCTGCGTAAGAAAGTTTTCGACAATGCCTTTCCTGTTTTGTGATGTAAATAGTGTGTGTCACTATGCCAGTAGAAATGATCGATCTTACTGGTTGTCAACAAACAGTCCGATTCCTATGATGCCAGTAGAAGAAACCGAGATAGAGGAATACATTTCTAGGTATGAAAAATTACGCACATATTCAAGCTCCTAGCAAAGGTGTATCTGATAAACTTGTCATAAAATTAAACAAATTTAAAAAAAAAAATCATACCCACTTTAGTTGCAATGATCCCAAATGCGTTATATAAAAAAGTTAGAAAATGATTTTTAATATAAAAAACAATCCTTGAAGTTTAATATGTACTTGAAAAATTTGTAATTTGATAAAATAAAAAATATAATTATTCACTAATAACAAAAGTCTGCACGATATGTTATGTAAACTTTCAGGTGCGTCGTATGTGAAGTTCCCGCAAATGTCTTAGCTGTGCACAGTCAATCGGTCACAATTCCTGATTGTCCTGAAGGATGGTCCGGTCTTTGGATTGGATACAGTTTCGTTATGGTAAATTTATCTTTATTAAATATTAAACTTGACCTTTTTATTTATTTAAGCATCATAATGTATTGAAACATGATGTTTTTTTATAGCATACTGGAGCTGGTTCTCAGGGTGGCGGACAGTCTCTATCTAGTCCGGGGTCTTGTCTAGAGGACTTCCGTGCAACTCCATTCATCGAGTGTAACGGAGGCAAGGGACACTGCCATTACTATCCCAACGAGTTCAGTTTCTGGATGGCCACGATTGAAGATCGTGATCAATTCCAGAAACCAAATAAGCAGACCCTCAAGGCAGGAAGTCTGCGCTCCAGAATAAGTCGCTGCCAAGTGTGCCTGAAAAACACGTAATAAATCCACGTGCCCTTAGCGTGATTGTGACAGATCATGTCGCCAAATGCATTTCGATTGTGCATTGCTGTTCATTCGTTACGCAAAAAATAAAAAAGCTGCCGATATACTATGTTACGAACGATAAATCTTCTTTAAAGCGAAAACACGAGAAAAGTTATTAAAATGAATAACTCATTATAGAAATAAGTACATCGATAAAAGCTCTGTTCAGCGTTACCTTTCTTTATTTTTTCTTTTTCTTCTGAAATTGTTGTGGTTTCTTTAAGTGTTACCCTCATTATTTTTCATTTTACCACAACCTTCTTTAATCTGTTTCACTGTATCTATTCCTTTCGGTATCTTCTTTTTTCCTTTTGCTATTTTTATAAGTACCTTAGCATATTACCTAGTATGTAAAGTAAAATATATATTTATATAAATAAATATACCTACATACATGTATTTGTATGTATGGTTGTTTATTTATTGCGTACGTATTCGTTATCAATTTATAATCACTGCCTTTATCGAGATACGGCACTTTCTATATGAACTGTATATTTCAATACAGAAGGAAATGAGATAAAATTAAGCATGATAATGAAAACCAAATATTTAAATACATAGATATTTTTCTACTATAGTCAGTGTCAGTGTATAACTCTAATTTTATATTTAATTTTGGAATGTGCATAGTCATAAAAGCTTAGACAGTGTTATAACTAATTGCATTGCTTTCTTTTATTGTATTTGTACATTTCGTCTGCGTGTTGAAAGACAGTTAAAAAAACATTTATTTATGTACGAATATAAAAGCAAATCCATGCGATGTCATCGACATAATTTTTAAATAAAGAATTGCTTTACATCGTAATTGTTGATAGTCAATGGTCAATCGTTAAAATTATCCTATTTTTATTTCAAATAAATTTTTATGCTTTTTATGTTATTAAACTTAATTTTTTTATTAAAACCAAATTGCCAAAAGAATCAATATTTTGTAATTAATAGTAGTAAAACATGTATTTCACGCTTTAAAAAATTGAGCCATTTGTATTAACTTCATTACAGATCATAAATTTGATGTACATATTAGGAAAATTTACAATCTACAATCATCAATTTAACTTCTTAATTGAAATTGTTAAAAAAATACACACATGTTTAAATGGATTTTTGATTTTTTTTTTATTTTTTTCATTAGTGTTTTGTATGATGAGAAAATACAAATTTCACGACATTGACAACTTTACATTATTTATCAGTTAAAATACATTGAATACTGCTCGACCAAATTCGGTTTTCTCGATCGCTGAAGATATTTGTGTGACAAAGCTATTTTTTATGTAAACTGGACATCTATAAAGACAATATTTTTTAGATTTTTTAAATAATGTTATGTATGGAACTTGTAAATTAAACGTTGTATAATAATAAAGTTGTGTTGATTCATTTACAGATCCTTCGATTACACTAAACTATTTTGTGAAGTAAAACAAAGTCAAACAAATGTACGTAAAGTTTTGAAGTCATTAATTATAAAAATAATAAAAAGGGCAAAAGTAAAAATCATGATTTCTCCATAGTGACATTAAAGCTAACAAATAGGTGATCTAGCATTTCGCACACACTGTACTTACTTGCTACCACACGCGCCAGTACAAACAACTTTTGCACATGCTCTGTTTACGCCTAGTTTGCACAACGAATCCTCTTAATTAGCATTTTATTTTTCCAATAACGCTGGCTCATACGTCACACGCATTCAAATCGCAGTATACGAAGTCTTTCATTAACTTGTGCGCGCAAAGGACAACAGATCACAAAAAAATGAGGTAAACATTGTTATTTTTTTGATTGTCTACTAATGTTATCAAGAGGCGAGGAACTAAAAAGATTAAAGACTATGAAAAAAAAAAAAAAAAAGTATCAGGATTTTCAACGCGATGTGTATTACTGCATTTAAAAGCTTCCGGAACTTACGAGAAAACGTTTTAACGCGTTCTCAATTTTTCTTAACTTACTCAGCTTATCGAAATCCGGACCGGTGACATTCCAAGACCAAAAACTTTCGCATCTTCCACAATATTAAAATTCACTTTTGAACTTGAACGTCCAATAACGTGTATTCGCGACCGGGCGATAGACTACATTACTAAGAATCCTTGATAAAATAGAATGGCAAACAAAAATCTTAAAAAATAAAAAGGAAAAATGTTATCACGAACAAAGTACATGCTAGCCAAATATCATTTACAATTAGCCAACATAGACCGTAGAAGTACAGATATTTTTTCGAGTTCCGTCTCAGCAATCCTAAGTTTCGTGTAAATACAAGATGCTGCGAACATCGTCGGAACGAAAACAGAGATCGCACGCTTAGTCCTCTTATGAATATATACCCGTGAGCCTTAAAACTGAAATTATGCATACACGGGAGATGACTGGAATATTTTCTCGTCGTTTATTGAAATAAAACCGAATCGAGGAAAGAGATATATACACGTAGGAGAAAAACGGAATAATAAAATTTAATTCACCATAGCGACTAATTATAAAAGAAGGCGTGGAGCCGATCCGACCAATCAGACCGGTTCGCTCGTCCTCGAGCCTCCAGCTTCTCTAGCGCGATCTCAACGAACATACACTCGCGCGCGCACGGGCTGACGATATTAGTCGATTCAAAAAATCCCAACCGAGCGCTTTATCCTCGCCGTCGTTGGCGTCGTTGTTCGTGAACCGTTGCTGTATTTCGTTGACACTGGATCGATAGAAGTAAGGAAACAAAAAATTTTGTAACCACAGGGGATACGAAAATACAAGACGCAGCCGAGCGCGCTGCTTCGAGAAAGTGCACCCGTCGAAAGGCGCGTACGGTTTTTTTTCATTCTGATCGAGAGAAGTTTCTCGAAGTTTCGTGTGCATACGATTGGCCGATTTTTTTTCACTTATTCTTTTGTAACAGATGCCTTAAGAACGCGAGCAAGACAAAAAAAGCGGTGTAGGTCCTGTACGGAGCTTTTAGCATTAGATTTTTGTAAAAAAAAAAACATATTTAAAGAGGGAAAAGGTGCCACGAAAGAAATTTCTTGATACATTCGTATGGTAAATGATAGTATCGGTCGTCACTTGAAGAAGATCCATGTCAGGTTGATTAAATAAATAGACTTTTTCATAAAATAGTCGTTCTTCACTTTATTCGTTTTTGAAAACGTTACGGCCCTTTCGGTAATTTTAGTCTATACATTTAAAAGCTCTTTCTGTCTGTCCCCTATATTTCTCATTGCAAGATCCACAACGAAGTTCATAAACAACTGATTTGTTTTCTTTTCCTGTTTTGTCCTTGATATTTTTCATGATTGTTTGTAAGCTTTCATTAGATTTGAACGCTATTTGTATATCGTACTGATTAAAATGCTTTTTTATTTTAGTTCTCCATTGTATGTAATAACGAAATAATTATGTTCTTTGACGGGCGAGGGAAAAACGTATTTTATAGCCATTTGATATTTTATTTATTCAACGTCATCAGTAATGGTAGGATCACAGCCATTATTGTATACTATTTGCTTGGTACTTTTCAATTCTTTATTAAATTGTTGAAATTAATGATGTGTTAAATCTTAATTGTTCACCTTTACATGTATTGTTTGAAGAAGGTACTGTGATACCGGCCGTAAAGTTTTCAAGAACAAATAAAGTGAAGATCGACTATTTTTTGAAAAAGTCTAATTATTTAATCAACATTCGTACAGAACTTACGACCGCATTCACAAACTCCGTGGTGATGTCGATAAACGTAGGTGAAACGTCACGTAGCGGATGGAATGTTCAGGCGTCGCTGATCGCTAAAAACACTCACAATCCGATCAGGAGTATCGTTGAGAGTATTGTGGTTGAGCCGAATCCAGAAAAATGCGTGATAGCATTATCAATCGGTGAGTGGTTTGAATTATTTTTGTAACCTTTTTGTTTTTTTAGACCAGAAAAATCCAATTTAAACTCTGTAAAGATTCCAATAGTGGTCCTCACATAAATCCAACTGCAATACTTTGTCAAAACTATTTTTTTAATGAAAAACTCGAGGTATCTTAAAAATTTTAAGCTTCATACAAGATGTAAGAACCAGTTTTATGAATTTTAAGTTTAATTTCGCGCTCTCTGAGGTGTTCATTACGTCATGACTCTACTCACATCTACAAACTTTCCATTCATTGTAAATTTATAAAAAAATTTTAAATAATCAACGCCCCAGAATTTGATATTCATTCAACTTAAAATTGATAAAACCTTTCCGTAAAAAAATACGATTCAAGGTGATCCCACGACCTTTGGAAACTTGAAACCAGCGAGAGAAGTGATCGAAGCTGTACAAGAGAGCGTCGAGTCTCAGGCGTACAACGGTTATGCACCAAGCGCTGGTAAGTTGAAACAAAAGTGCTTGATGCGAGTAATAACAAATAACAAAGTATGGCATTTTCATGACATGTAAAATAAACGAAATTTTTAGGATTCCAAGAAGCAAGACTTGCGGTGGCAGAATATTATTCGGACCAACACGTCCAGATTGATCCAAGTGTAAGTACCTACTCAAAATGAAACAACATTGTTCCCCAATACCTCGTCAAACCGATAATTTTTTATTAGCATCAAATGGTGGGTCAAAAAGTGTAAGCTGGTAGTTTTGACGTGTAACGGTATAATGTTCCCCGAACATTCGTAATAAGCATTGTTAAGGCGTCCAAGTAACGAGAGGGGCAATCGGCGCACGACGCGCAAAGGATAAAGGAATTAAGTACACAAACGCACCCCTTCTCGTCTCCTTTGCTCGAATATAACCGCTAACAAGGTACTCTACGTTTAGATATAGGCTCGAATACGGTTGTGGCGGCTATACTCAAAATAAGCGACTCCCCTTGCACTGCACGAGACTTTATTCCTTATACTTAGTTCTAGAAAATACAAGAGTTAAGACAAAGCCGGCAATTTACCCGCTCGTAGACGTCAAATTTTATTTCTACGAGCTCAGAGGATTCGTTGGTTGTTTTTTTTTGTACATTCAAAGATGAAATTCGGCTTACGTCTGCCACCGTTTTTTTTTTTTTTTTTTGTTGGACGAACTAAGTATTGTGTTTTACAGTGTATCACTGCAAATATAAATATCGAATACAACAACAAAAAAATTTTTTTTGCCATGAATTGCGATTCCAATGCTTATTTAAATCTTCATGCGAGTAAAATGTGACGACACTTATGGTAATCAAGCAAATTAATTAATATGAACATAAACTGATGAATTATGTGTATCGCATCGATTCATTTGCTTCATTACTAATAGCGTCATTGTACGTATATTTTACCACTCGTTATAATTGATAATCCAAGTGTTTAGATTTATTTTTCATCATGATACTATTATGTAGTTGAATACATCCCGCGAAGGGACAACATTACCGATGATGACAGAATCACATCGTTGCACGAGTTATTCCGTTATCACCGATAGTGTTGTTCTTTCACAACAATAACAACCTGAAAAGGTTTGCTAATATCAGACGAAACGTCGCTACGTAAAAACGAGTAGTTTTTCATTGAATCATCAATGACATTATCAAATAAACGACAATCAGTCGGTGCAATGGAAACTCAGACAATTGTCATGTAAATGAATTTTCAGGACGTCATACTGTGCAGCGGTTGCTCGAGTGCTCTCGACATCTGCATCACAGCACTGGCTCGCGAGGGCCAAAACATCCTTCTGCCACGGCCCGGCTTCTCCATTTACCGAACTCTCGCCGTAGGACTGGGCATATCCGTGAAATCCTACAACCTTCGCGTGAGTACATTGTGTAAACCAATCATCAGGGCTATACCTTACCTCTGCGCCCATTGTTTCGGCCCTTCCAAGGCAGAGGGTACGATGTTTCCCCTCCACCTCTCACACTCACCAATGTATACGCATCATCTCCACTTTGCGCTGCAAAGCCAATTTTAATGTTAATTGTTATCCTCTGTTCAGCCGGAGCTGGGCTGGGAGATCGATTTGGACGACCTGGAGGCACAGATCGACGAGTTCACGGCGGCCATTGTTATAAACAATCCCTCGAATCCGTGCGGCTCGGTGTACAGCCGCGAGCATCTGCTCGATGTGCTCGACATCGCTGCCAAGTACTGTGTTCCGATCATTGCTGACGAGATTTACGAGTATTTGGTAATGTTTGTTCATTTTTTTTAGAAAAAAAAAAGCAATTCGTTTGATTGACAGTACACGGTAGGTAATTTTGAGGATTTTGTTTAAAAAAAATCAATGAATGAACTTTCACGAGCCACGAACTGCGGTCGTCGGGTCTTTTGCTCCAACACCGAGTTATGGCACGGCATTTGCATACTTAGCGTTTCATGAATTTATAATTTTTCTTTTGGTTTCAAACGTAACAAGGAAATTGAATTTCATTATTTTTTTCTGTGAGTTAGTCATGGAGATTCAAGTTCAAGCGCGCTTAGAGAAATGTGCAATTGAAAATTATTTTAAAAAGTAAAATATTGATAATATAAACAGGCAGCGCTAAACTATAACGACCTTTTCGTGTTTCAATGTCTTTGTGGTATACTTATTATTTGTTGATATGCTTTTTGAATTAAATTTACAAGTTTTGTAGGGACGAAAGTATTTTTGAAGTACGTTAACATTTTCTCTTATTGATTTGATCTATGAGTGGATGATGATCTCTGAGTGCATGAAATGTTACACGAGCCGATGAATTGTACTTTCCAATAAAATCTACTGTGTAGTCTTTGTGATGCGGATCAATTACGATGCGCATGCATAATACATCACGCAAAGAAGCAATTTTTTCAAAGGCAGCATGTAAAAAAAAAAAAAAAAAAAAAGCATTCATGACGCAAATCGTAATTTTTGTAATTTTTCACCTGCAAGTACAAGATACCATTTATCATTATTATTAAGATGGCGAAGATTTTTATGCAAACGACTATTCACAGGTGTTTCCAGGGAGAACGTTTTACTCGCTAGCGTCTCTATCGACCGAAGTTCCTATATTATCGTGCAGCGGACTCGCAAAGAGGTAACACCACTTAAACTCGTGTAATCTAAATTTTTTATTTTAGCTGCACGTATATAGCATTTTAGAAACCTTAGTATTTAAATTAATCTGTAATTTTTTGTAAAGATATAATGAATTATTCCATAGGTTTTTGGTACCCGGCTGGAGAATGGGATGGATCGTCATCCACGATCGCGATAACATATTGGATAAAGAGGTAAGTAAAATTAAAAGAAGAAAATTCTACAGTTACAGCTGCAATTTTGAAATAAATATGAAACTCTGCATTTAAAAAAATACACGTTGCATCATGAGCTTTAAGAACAAGTTGAATAAACAGATTAAAGCGAACTTTGTGAAAAAACTTGAATTCGGGATTAAATTTTGCCTTCACCTTTGCATGATTTTATTTTGCCTCCCCATCCCTCTTTCTCTCTACTTGTATATGTCTAGTCTCTCATGGGGATCAAAAGTAGAGTCAAGTGCTTCGTCAAGCCTTCATCTCAAATTTTCCTGTAATTAAATTACGGAAAGATAGTTAATTAAACTCAAGTGGAAGCTTTACGTGCTCAAATCTGCCCTTTATGGTATTATTACCACTTGAGGGTGTATGAATTTTTATTTGTCTGTTTGCTTAAAAAACTACATAATTCACATTGACGGTAGTTTTTGGCACCCCAGATTAATCAACAGTACAGCTGTAAAAAAATTTTTAACATTTTTACTCAAAATATGAATTTTCGCAGATCAGAAAAGGCTTGCAATGTTTGACGCACAGGACAATTGGCAGTAACACGATAATCCAAGGAGCTCTTCCGAAAATCCTAAAAAATACTCCTCAGAGATTTTTCGACAACTTGTTGCAAACCTTATACGTAAGTTTCATGAAATTTCTTGGCCCACCAACATGTACAATTGTGTACGCAGAGTAATGCTTGTTGAATTACACCGAAATAACGTCAGCGTGATTTTCAGTTCCGTTTTGAGCCAGTGCTCCGGCAAATGCGTACCGGATGTACAAATTAATCGCTTGGCTTTCTTCGTGTACCTGCGTATTTTGAATTCAACGAGTGATTTTACCTTCCGATGAATAATAATTTCCAACGTGGCGGTCTGATAAATTTACTTTAAAGTTACTAGCAAAATTTAATAATTAATGTGAAATGGGGTATAAAATTATTGAAAGTCAAAATAAAAAACTATTAGGAAATGTTACATGCAGGAAAAAAATTTAACAAGGATTTTTTCAACTGTTGACAATTATTTTGATATTCGTTAACAGCCAAGAAGCAGAAATCAATCACAACATTTTTTTACCATAGTAATTCAGATGATCGTATATCAAAATATATGACAAATAATTAATTGTCAACTTTATCGAACAGATTATTTTTTAACTTCGTCTAATAAGAACGGCTGATAGTTGGAGCAACCGCAGGTGCGATGCCAACAGTTTTTATTCGATCTATTCGGTGAAATTCTAATTTATTGGACATAAATAATTTCTGTATACGTGATTATACATTATGTATTCATTGTGTGAACTTTTGATGGCAACACATAAAATTTTAAAGTCAAATGGGAACAAACTTTATACCGAGAGGCAGTTATATTATTTGTGCTCAATGAAGCTGCATAATTATTGATTTTGCTTGAGGTCACGAATTCGACCAAACGATTTATTGACCTAAAAATGAGCACACGTCGATTTTCGGTGAATATTTGCGCAGCGTTGAATTAATCAAACATTTAATGCAAACATTAAAAACGACTGGGTCACTCCAAACTTTACGTGTAATTTGAATCTATATTTTGTTACAACAATATCACGCCGAATTACAAGACTTGTGCGATTACATCATAAGAGCGAAATGTACAGTAAATTCACTCATTTCAAAATGTGGTAAAAATCGATTGCTTGCCTCTCATCAAAGTAGGAAAAAAAAGAGAAAAAAAAAACAGGTATACAAATGAGAACGAAAGAGCTAAATAAGCGAGATAACCCAGTTTCGTCGGGATCCTTCCCTCAATGTATATACAGTATGCCTGCGTACACAGTTGTATATCGTCCTCTCCGGCTTATCCGTCAACGGCAGAAGTGGTAGCGTCGTTTGCATGGCAAACGAACGCAAACGAAAGGCGAGCACATCCTATCAATAACCAATTTTGCAATTTTAACGCGATTCCGATTAAATTTTATCGGTCGATTCAAAAAATTAATAACCAAAAGTGCCATTTTATGCCATTCCTTTGGTAGGTCGATGTATAATTCAAATTAAATACTTGATACGATTGAAACGCAAGACAAATGATTGTGCTTATAAAGGTATCCGTGTTTGTTTCGACTTTGGAATAAATTGGCCCCGTAGAGCCATCATTACTACCCTAGGATATACATTTCATATCAAGGGGAGATTTAAAAATATATATATGTAGTTGAAAGAGATTCAGAAAAAAAGGCTCTTCTACGGGGCCAATCTCATTACTCTGCTGTGGCTGACAGTAGACTTTTTTTTTTATACGAGACAAAGAAAGAGGAAGTCACAGGTACGTACGAGTTATAGGGGTTTAATTAATAAGCAGATTGATACACGGGTACGTTTGTTGTTGACAGGCGCACGCAAAGCTCACCTACAATTATCTTTCGCAAATTCCTGGATTGAAGCCCATTATGCCCGACGGTGCTATGTACATGATGGTGAGTCCACTGTTTGAATTATTTAAGAATGTGTGTATTTTTTTTATCTCACAAGTTTATTAGCATTTTAACGAGTGAGACTGCGATAGCAGGACTGTAGTCGCAGGTATTTCGGTAGTATTGATCGAGTGAAGGCTAAAGGGAGTGGTGCTATGTGATGGCAGACAGAGAGGAGGCATCATGTGCATAATCAAACGTATGATTTATGTGCAGGTACACATCGACCTGTCCAGCTTTCCGGGGTTCAACAGCGAGATGGATTTCGTTCAGGGCCTGCTTGCCGAGGAATCTGTGTTCTGTTTACCCGGACAGGTAAAATTTGATTGACAACTTTATGATGGTTGTTGCAATTTAGATGTAGTTTTTTTTTTTTTTTTTTTTTTTCAAAACTAAATAGCGACTTGGAGACGAAAATGTTTGATTAATCATGCAAAATTGTGTTTATGATCGATCCAGTGTTTCGATTATCCGTCGTACATGAGATTGGTGATCACGGTTCCGCAGGATGTGCTGGAGGAAGCATGCCTGAGGATTCAAGAGTTTTGCTCGAGGCACCACGTTAAGAATTGTTTGCAAAATGTTATTCCTTATTAGGCCTGCGAAGTGTATAAGATATGACATGTATAGTTTTTTTATTTTTTTTTTTTTTTTTTTTTTTTTTTTTTTTCAAAAAAAACATGATTATAATTATAGAAATGTACATTGTAAATTTGTGTCTGATTATATAATTTTAGCAGCGAAGTCACACGACATTCCTTATTTTACGGAAATATTTTTTTGTACGCTATTTTTATTACTTACACTGTACACACATCAAAAAGAAACCAATCGAGTTATTAAAATTCCACACTAAATTCAAACGAGAATTTTTCATAGCTTTGGTCTCTACGTGTTCTTAATATTGATGAGTGTACACTAACTAAAATAAAAAAAAATAAAAAAAAGATCTAGCTCAAATGTTTGTTAATCGTTTATTGCATTAGAATTTAGAATTAATTTAATTTGTACATATTAAATACATGTATGCTTATTTCGCGATTTTATGTTGACGATTGTGAAAACATTCTTAAGAAAAATGTAATAAAATTGTACAAAAAACAAAAAAATCTTGTTGAAAATTTCAAACAGTAGCACAAGCGAAGTCGACACAAAAGCTTGTGTGTAATATATAAGCAACACCTTTGACAGCCTTTATAATTATTTTCTCGAACCATCTTACAGGTGTACGAGTAACTGCAGAAGAAGCACAGTCACAGCTTTTCACGGCAGCCATTGTGAGCTAGTAAAACACGACTCTCTTAGCTACGCGCAGCTGGTTGACGTAGAGAAGGCTCATTATCGCTCGTGCATTGTGTTGTCTACCACCGGCGCTTCATTCGCGTATATACGTGCGTTGTGTGTATTATACGTGGGCTCAGTATAAAACGGCCAATGTAGCCCTTTGTGCACCGCTCGAGATGGTGTTTTTTTTTTTTTCTGCACAAACGAGCAACCGCAGCATTATTTTTTACATTTTTGTTCTTTTCTCCCCATTTTTTTGTTGTTGTTGTCACTTCTACGTTACATTTTCTTTCGTTGTTCCTTCATATAAGACGGTGTTTTTCTTTTTAAAATTTTTTTCTATGCTTTTACTTCACCAGTGCAAAACAACAGAGTTTTGCTTTACTTTGTTCGAAGCCGTTTGAGAGCATCACTGCGTTATTAATGATTTACCGTCTGTCAGCCATCTATTTGACTTTACTCATTAAAAAAAAGAGAGGTTTTATCCAAAGAAGAAGATAATTCATGGCGTTACTTGGAAACTCGTACAACTACGGTATCAACGTACTTGTAATTAATAGGATATTCAACGTGTACTTCAAATCAACGTTTTTTTACCTTATTACGCATAAAGAAAAAGATTAATTAAATGATTGCGGCACCGTAGGTAGAATTTACCATTGCAATTAATTTTTATTAATATTATCCTGCACAGGTAGGAAAGGGATGTGTTAGTCCATTTTAGTAACTTACCATTCAAGCACTTGGATCTAAAGTTAGCCATTGCACACAGTGATCTGAATTCCTCTAGTCTCCTTCCTATGTTCCTAATTAGCTGACATCAGATCTACCACACCTGCTGGGTTATGGAAATTTATGTGGGGAAGGGGGAGGTAATGATTTATCTTACCAAGTAAGTTACACGATGAAACTTCTCTGATTTAAGAATATCGGATCAAAGTCAGACTGAGAATTGAGTTTCCTCGAGTAAGCAAGGAAATCCCATGTCAGTGTTTATCGGTGTATCTGTAGTTACCAAGATGTATTGTCATTTAATGACGTATACCATCCCTTCACTACCTTCTCGATGTACAGTAAACCAAGTATATATAACATATCCCCCTTACAGCACAGAATCAAAAAAGCGCTGTTCGCTATTTTATCGGGGGAACTTGCACAATTGTGCACACACGTACAGTCAATAAATGTGGGAGAATCGCACGAGCATCCATCGAAATTTTCCACTGCGGGTCATTTAAAATGTATATGGGTGCAGGCTGCAGACTGGGCCCTGGCGGAGAGTTCCTGCGGGGATTCGAATTCGAACTGGTCGATTTACGGGCTACAATCCAACGCACGCCACACCACGCGAGGACTATATATTATATATACGTGTATAGCTCGACAAATGTAAGAGGGAGGCGTACGAGAGTTAGCCGCCCTGCCGTTTTTGCATAATTCCGGGGACGGCTGCAATTTATTCGGGAGCTAGTGCAGTACGCGTGTTTGGGCTTTATGCGTGCGCTATCGCGTTGGGAGATAATAGGGAGTGAAATTCACGATTTGGTGGGGTTGTCGATGTCCCCTTGCATTGCAGCGTTTACTTCGTACAAGCATTTGTTTTGCAAAAACAAAAAACTCCTCGATTGGATTTCGGATTACAAAATTAAGTATATTTCATATGGGATTAACACAATGTGTAACCATTGTGGTCAAAGCTTTTTAAATCGCTGTTTAGATTTATTGAAAATCGTATCGTAGATTACTTGTTTATGGATGGGCCCCATGTAGGGGGCAGGGTGGAAGTTAACAAATTATTTACTCGTCAAGTTGAGGAGTACGGGAGCTAAAACACATCATCGACTTTGGGTAACAAGTGTGCGTTTACACGAGGGAGAGACCACATGCGCTCATAAATACTAACAGATGTGTCTTTGTGTGGGTATACCCGCTATTTGGAATCATCCTTTTGATGACGCACGGTCGCAGCTTTTTTATTCTTTCAACCTTTTTTTTTTTTTTCTTACTCTTTCTGCTTACATTGCGAGAGTCCAAAGACCGATGAAAGATAACAGTCGTCGGGCGCTTGAGGCCTTTTTGTAAATGCTTATACTGGGGCAGCTTTAAAACGGTGAGCCCATCAAAAACTTGCTTTCACTTTATAATGGACCATGTTTACTTTTTTAATTACGTGTTTATTTTTATAATCCTTACAAAACATTTTGCTCATGTAAAATATTTAATTATAAAATAGTATTGAATAAAAAAACATTTCTCACAGAAAATAACTCGTGCATAAAAGACTCGTGGAGTATTGTTACATTTGATAAATCCAAACAGTAAACCAACTTTCAAACTTGTTAGCTCCGTCTTGATAAGTTTTTACGAAATAAACGACAATCCTCTTTGCGTATCGCAGAAGTAGATACGGCTTAGCCGAGAAAATGTACTTTTTGGTTTACGGAGTGGAAATTTAATCACTCTGCAACTGACGGCCTCTCCCCGCAACTTTGTTCACTTTACAAATGCTGCCTCGCAACGATGGTAAGTTCAAACTCTGGCCTCTTGCCACTCATTCCGAAACCATTGTGGATTCCATTGTGCGAGTGTTTGGCTATTATTGCGACTGCGGCCGTTCCAGCTGTCATTTTTCCATTTCAACTCTTACCAGCTGTATAGGGTTTTGAGATAAATAATACTTTTGTTTACAGTTTCAAAAGTGAAAATAAAGCTTTGATTTGAAAAAAAAGATGGGGATAAATATTTTCACGTTGCTAAATTTAACTCTAAGCAATAGTACTATTTTTTTCAAACTTCCATTGGAGTTGTAGTTCAATAGTGGGTTGAAAAAAAGCATTTGACATTGCCGAGAGCGTGAACGCCGAGCACTGGGCTTTAAAAAAAAAAAAAAACGTTTCACCGCTGAATGCGATTTTTCAAAAGAATAATGTAGCCCTTGGGATGAAAATTCACACAGCTTGGCTTGCTGTGTGTCATCTGTTGAAACCACAAGTTCTTTTCAAGCGCCGCGGTCGTCAAGGCTTGTCTTTTTACCTTTGAAGAGAATAATGAAAATACCCTTCACCTACTTGGCCATGTCACCCTCGAACTAAGTCAAACTCTGGTTTTTTTTTTTTTTTTTTTTATTTATTTTTTTTTCTTTACTTTTTAATGTCAGGTCTTTAGAGCCAACTCGGAAAACTGAAGCATAACAAAAGAAAATGTTGCTTGTCAAAACTGTTTTTGTTTAATTGTAGCTTGCACCAAATTTTATTCAACGTCAAACACACATTATTTCTGTTTCATTGTAACTTCTCAGAGTCAAAGTACTTGGCACGATTGAAAATCAAAAGAAAGAAAGTCGACCAAAAAAATCCGATTGACTCTTCCGAAGAAAGAAGTTTTCCAGATGCATCGAGTCTTATTCGATAAGCTACAAGCTGTAGGTTTAACGGTGAGATTGTGGCAATCTTTACTTTGATCTACAGTTATTAATTTTTATTTTATAATTGCTCTATTATTATGGTTACACGTTACAGAGATCGAAGGAAATATATTCGAAACGCTCGAGGCCCCCCAACGTGATACGTAGATTTCGCTGATTCATAGGTGAAATCAAGTCTTGCGTAACATAAATGGAAGTGGAAAGTTTTCCAAGACTAAAATAAGTTGTTGTCAAGGCCAATTGATACCATCAATGTAGATCGACTATTGTATTACTGTAGATTGTCTTTATACGTATGTTGCTGCTTGCTATGTACTCGCCATTGCAATCCGAGCATGATTTGTTTTCTAATCGAAAAGCTAGTTTTTATATACTTTTCCATCAGTGATTGGACTTGAAATTGATATTCACTAGCATCCCGTAGAAGTATTTATATGTGATTTTTTTGTCATTATATTATTTTATATTTTATGTGCGTTAAATAACTGGGGGTGCGAAGCTGCACGTTTTCAATTATCAGAGTGGACTACTCAACTCTGTATCCATATTTAAATCACAATACCAGAGGATGTATCGATCGATTGGTCCACAAAACGCAATCACATGTACGACCTGAAGAAAATCATCGCAAACAAACACCAAATGACACGAGAGAGAGGTAAAACAAACACAATAAATCAAAGCAAAAAAAGAAGGGGCATCGCGATCCACCAGATTTTTTTTGAGTGGCATAAAACGCGAGTAAGAGAAGTAAATACTGCAGCAGGAAGAAGGAGAAGCATAAAAATGTACAATGGAAAGGAGGACCGATGATACACATCCGCAGCCGAGGGGGAAAAAGGACGGAAACAAGGAGATCGCCGACACACGAGGTGCAGCTTTTCCCCCGGACTATACGGATCCAAGCACGCGCTTGCACGCGACGATGAT